GAATTATACAAAAACTGCCTGACCGATTTTCACAAAATTTGATGGAGGGATGTAACACATGCCAACTTAGAATACATTCAATTTTTCGGGGGGCGTGTCCAGGGACACACGTGGCCGCCCATTCACTTCCATTCATTTTTTGGATGAGGATTACGTGAAATCTGTCCAACTGATTTTCATAAAACTTGGTGGAGGCATGTAGCATGGTCCAACTTGGAAGCCATTACATTTTGGAGTGGATCCAATTAACGGGACAGGTCCATGGGCAGGTAGGATTCAATTGCCTGCTCTGGCCACCAGGGGGCGAGTTTCTGATGCTCCAATATCCAGATTTGTTCTAAATATATTTGTCAACACATCTTCCAGATTTGGTGCTTTTATCACAAAAATGAACGATCTTATAGCTATGCTGCCCCACTAATAGAGGAAGGTGATGTTTAGAGAGCAAGCCCAAATAAGCAACTCCACTTTAGAAACAAGCCCAAAGTCGCGGCTCATAAGCGGACCTGGCAACCCTGCGGCTTGTCCTCCTCACATTTCTTCTGTCCTCCTGCGTGCTGACGTGGGACGTATCCTGCCTCTCATTGGCTGATGCTCTTTGTCAGTCGTGTCAGACTTCTCCAGTTTACTAGCATGCCAGATATCCAGTCCCAGTCACAGACAAGGGGGCGACTTGCTCGTAGGCTTGTTCACACATGAGGACTCGTCGTGGCATCTGCCGACTCACCTCCAACCCAAGGTGGCTCTCAAGATCCTCTGCGACGTCAAAATCATGGTTAAAATCGTGTAATGTGAACTAGTGGATACATGCAGTAATAGTTTCTTTCAAGTTCGATTTCAATTGAATTATCTAGGTGGGTTAGTCGAGCTACGGATAGTCCAACTTCAGTCGGACTAAGCTGTTTACATGCAATAAAAAGCTGCTGAGTCATCTTGAAACAGCACAGGGCCATCCCAGAGCTGTTTCCATAAAGCTAAAAGCACAGTGTTGTTTAAAATATCACTATATGCTATGTTATGTAATTGGAACTGAGAAGATTCAAACCATGAAAAATAGGCCCAAACCAGTGACATATAAAAAGGTGTATCTACACACTTTTGGCCATAGCATATCTCCAGCCATGTCAGGGCAGTTAAAAAACAACAAGCCAATGCCTTTCGGGTGCTACTTTTGTTGACAACATTGTTAGGCAGGCGCTGCCCTTCGTCTTATCGTGTAAGGATCTGCTTCCATGCTTAGAACAAAAGAAAACACTAGATTCAACTGCACCTTTGAGAACAAACTCCTGAGCAATATGATAAAGTGAAAGTGAAAATGTTGTAAGGCAGACTGCAATAACAGTATTTACAGATACTTAGAAGAAGTTGAGATCTAACAAGAATTAGAAGAAGATCGTCTCTACTTCTCAAAACTCCTACATCCTACTCTCAGCACTGTCTTCTAGGAATTATGTTACATTACATTATGATACATAACTGAATGTATCAGCGAAATGTTCACTGACAACACATTTCATTTGGTTTCCATCAAATTTTTTTAACGAAGATTTAGATCCTTTCCTAACCTTTCCCAAAGTGCATTTGTCGCCTAAACTGAAGACAAAAGTCTGTCATGAACCCGAGGTTCTTGTGTCACAGTCCTGCACAACATTTCTCAAAGGCACATTGTCTCTAAACATAATCCAGACAGCGATTACGTTGTCGCCACAACATAATTATGAATGCAATTCAATAATACCCAACATATCTCTAGGAGACAGGGTTGCCTATTCTCCTGTCTATGTCATTGTCTATTCAATCCTCCAGGGTTCCTCTCAGAGTTCACACATAAATAGTTTTATCTGGCTCTGGTTTGTGTTAGTTGACATCCTACCTGAGTAGGAGGAATACCCCTGGTGATTACTGTTATAGAAATCTAATATGTAGCGAGCAACAGGGGCTGCTTCCACCACCTGTCTCTTACTACTACAAACACTTTCCCTTTCCTCTGCTGATGGTGCCCTTTCTGTCACTTTGCTTGACTGCACTTATGTCCTTTTTTGCTGAAGAGCAAGTAAAGGGACTGTTCACCCTCAAAATTAAACACACACATTGTACTACTCTGTAGTGCTGTTTATCAGTATAGATTGTTTTGGTGTTAGCTGCCAAGTGTTGGAGATATCGGCCATAGAGATGTCTGCCTTCTCATGAATATAATGGAACTAGATGGAACTGCTTGTGGTGCTCATAGCGCCAAAAAACTATGCATGAAAAACTCAACAGCAATGTGTCTTTTCAGAAACCATAACCTGATGAGTCAAGATAATCCACAGACTTTGCTGTGAGCAGTTTCATGTAGGAACTATTTCTGTCTACTGAACTCCACCTGCCAACCGTATCACCACACATGCATCTACTGCTAGCATACCTAGCACCACTGAGCTAACTAATGTTGCAGCTCAGCCGAGGAGGACACCATTGATGTTTAAAGCTTGTGCTGTCATGAGCAACAGCCTTTTGTTCATGAGTAGATGCACACTTCCTTCTGTGCATGGTTATTGTTGGCAGGTGTAGTTCAGTAGACAGAAATAGTTCCTACATGAAACTGCTCACAACAAGGTCTGTGGATTATCTTAGGCCTGTTTCCACTGAAGAAGTTCCTGGTACGGGAGCGTATCTAAGTTTCCCAGGTTCTATGTTTCCCACTTAACCCTGCAAAAAAGGTTCTATGTTCCCCACTTACACAAAAAAGGTTCCATGTTTCCCGAGTTCTATGTTGCCCGCTCAACCAAGCAGGAAAAATAGAACCCTTTTTGTGTAAGCGGGGAACATAGAAGATTTTTTGCAGGGTTAAGTGGGGAACATAGAACCTGGGAAACATAGAACCCTGGAAACATAGGGATGACCCCCCTGGTAGTATTTGGGGGGCAGGAACTTTACAGAACGTCCTCTCGTTCGGCCCTCTCAACCGCCATGTCTTCAGTGAGAGGGCGGAGTAGGAGGAAGGTTCCTGTAAAGTTACCGGGCTCTGGATGTGACGCAATCGTTGCGCGACCATTTTGACCGGGGCTAATGCCGGCTATTTTGTCGCTTTCTGTTGACATCACATCCCGCCTTGAGTATATGCAATCAGCACCAAGTAATCCCCAAGCCCCAGCCAGGAGTTTCTTGGGGCCGTTCTGAATACCTACCCCGAGGCAGGGACTTGTTTAGCCCCTGTAAAAGTTCCAGAACTCTGTCCTTCGTGGGTGGTTCCTGCAATGAAGACACACACCAACGGCCCTGGCCCGTAAAATTACCCCGAAGTTCCTGCAGTGGAAATGGGCCTAACCAGGTCATGATTTCTGGAAAGAGACATTGCTGTAGAGTTGACGCTTTGAACGCCACAGGCCAGGTGCCATCTTGTTCTATTATATTCCAGAGAAGGCAGACATCTTTACAGCTAATATCTCCAACCAATCTGGGTAAAAGGTCCACAGATTTTGCTGTGGAGTGAGTGCTCTTGACTTTCACACTACTGTTTGGTACAGACAGCGCTGGACATAATGCAGCGGCCCATGAGAGGAGAGACTCTGCACCGTTGGACTCAAGATAACATGGTTAAATCTTCATATTGAACAGCCAAATCTGATTCAGGTACAGCACTACTCACACTAAATCAATCTAAATTGATAAACAGCACTACAGATAAGAGGGAAACTATGTACTTTTGGGGTGAACTGTGCCTTTAACACGCAGAACTCTCAGACTAATTACAAATCCAGGTTCAAACTTTCTCATATCTCATATATACAGCATCATAGAGTCATCATTATGCAGTGCGATTATACACCTCTCAAAATTGTCTTTACCTAAAAGCTTTAAGACTAAAAGTGGTTCCCAGGATGAAATAAGTACAAGAACACACATACAAACATGTACACTGTCCCAAACTTGACCAGCATGATGTGGATCCATGTCAGAACATCCCAGCAACTGACTCAAACCACCAGGGGAGAACGTCAGGGTCGGCAGCTGACTCCAAGTCAGCTCGCGAAACGCCCTCAAGCTAAATTATTTTAACTTTGCACAAACTGTTGTTCCATTTGAAAGTACACAGCCTGCAGCACACACACAGTGATACAAGCTGTGTAAACACAGAAGCATCCAATCACATCCACCTTTTTTTTTAGCTTAACACTTACACACACATCCATGTTGTCTTGGTTCATATTGTATTGTTGGCTTTTCTGTGAGTCTCCAGTGTTTCAGAACGAAGGCCTTGTGACAGAGTGTGCCACCAAGCCCCCCTTTTATCGACACACAATAGCTTATTCAGATGGTTCAGCTGCCACTGTTTGCTTTTACCCTCACTGCAATTTGTCTATTTAAGCTTAAAAAGGCATACACCCATTAGACAAACCCCCTTCATATGCAAACACAGAGGTTGGTATGGAAACAAAAAAGGGTCATGAATGCAGCATGTGGAAATGTATAGCAACATAAGCTTTTGAATTCAGACACAGCCACATGCATGTGTAATAATGTTAAAGATGTGGACGAGAGTGTAGGTCTCGTTTCAATATTGTGGGGGACAAATAGGAAATGGTGTGTTTGGGGTCCTCGGACAGAAAATTTTGAGAGTTTCCTGCATTCTGTTGAATTTTTATAACTCAATCTGTGCCTTAATGTCAATGTAAAAGTCCTCTGCTACTTTCATGCGTGTTTTTATTGGGTGGAGGTGGCAAATGTACATATTACGTACACAATATTTAGGGGAACGTGTCCCCTGCGTCCCCCTTGAAATCTATTGGATGTGAATGACGTTGAGTAAGAGAAGTCAAGATGAAGGAGACATAATTAAGGAGAGGAAAGCGAGGCAGGGAGGAGCCGTTCAAGGCCATGGATCAATTCCAGCACTACCACCTCCCACACTCCCCCCAACGCGCGCGCACACACACACACACACACACACACACACACACACACACACACACACAAACACACACACAAACAAGGTCAAAGCAGGAGAGAAGTCTTACCTTGAGATTTTAGAGACATTCAATCTCCTCTTGCAACACAACCTGCAGTCATGGTGCGAACATGCCTAGAAAAACAGACACAGAGATACATTCGTCAAATAACATAAAACTATATTCATCAACTTTCAGACCAGCCTCAGTGTTTTCACTGTAACTTAACTATTTGTTATATATGCCTCTGTGGTTAACTTGTGTCTTGCATTAAAAATGATGCCTTGAACAGCCACGACTTCAGATTTGAGCGGGACACAAGGGTGGGACAAGTGTAGGGTCTGCAGTGGTAAAAGGATACACACCTGTATTAGAAGCCACATTACAACTCCTTATAATAAACCAGTTCACATGAGGACACTGAGCAGAAACTCCCTCGAAATTATCTGATAAGCAATGTGACACAGGCCTATGGTGCTCTGTTCCTGGAATGAAGAGGGGATTTGGTGTAATTAGGTGACACAGAGATGAAAGTCTGTGTGATCGATCCCTTAGTGTGGCTGTGATGCTGTGGCCTGCTACAGGAAGAGGACAGGACTGTGTGGCTCATGCAGACCTGTGCAGTTCAAGGCAGGCTACACGGATGCCTACCTAGACAGTGCATCACCTATATGAGTCCACACAGCTGTGACAGACATGATCCAAACACTGTGAGGCTCACACAACAACAGCAGAGATGGTGCTTGAATAGGGAAGTACAGCACAATACACTGGGCCATACTGTAGCATCCTGACAGCTTCATTTCATGTGGCTGCGGCTAATAATAATAATACAAAAATATTTAAAGCTTCCTCAGCTCCATCCGCCCCTTTGTCCTCCTCCCATCCTGGCTGTAGCTCTGCGATGGTTCATGGCTGACTGTAATACACCCATGGACCAAACAGCTGATCCTGAAATCAAACCGACATTTAGAAAAAAGAGACGCGCAGGAAGCAAACGCACCTTTAATCTTACCGTAGTTATCGCATCTTCATGTGCAGGCCACTGGGTTCACTCTGCATCCAGGCTTTGAATCTGCGTAACGCGATGAGGATCCCTGCTTTTTATTCGCAGCCTGCGGAGGAGCGGAGCGCGGCGGGTTGCCGAGGGGGGCTGGCTGGCTGGCTGGCTGGCCTGCGCACCCAGCGAGCGTCCGGAGCGCACAGACAGTCTGATCAAACCCGATCCCTGGCGCGGCTTTTTACGCCACAAATGCACGAGCTCTGGGCGTGTATTGTTTTGGTGAATGGGTGATGGTCAGCGCCACACCCCCCCTCCCGCCTCCCCCCCTCTTCTCCTTTAGGATTCAAATGATATTTACACCCAAAGAAGCATCCCATCGTCTGCACTCTGGTGATTCATATTTTATTGTGTTGCAGCAGGAGAGTGTGAGTTGCGTCACGGCGTTGCAGCATGCCCATAAGACGCGGGTTCCCCTCCACACACAGCACTAACGAGCCTGTCTGCTTTTAATGAGCAGCTGGTGGAAACACACAGGCTTAAAAATAACATCTAGCTTTTTTAAGCTGACGCCAGGTTTTTGATAAAACCTATGAAGTGAAAGAAACTGGAGACTAAACTTACCCCTGGATCAGACCCACCAGGTGCACAGTATCACCGGTGGCCAGTGGATCCATCCGAATTCCGGCTCGTTTGGTTTAATCTGATTATATTTGCTTGAACAGGCTGCCACCTACAGGACTGACGTGTTGACTTCAGGGGGAAGCTGGCCACATGAGTAACTTGTATCCACATTCAAAGCCCAAAAGTGCTTCCCTGCTCACTCACTTTCACCTGACATCACCTGTAAAATATTAACATGGCATATCCAGATTGATCTACAAATGCTGATGAATGCATCTGAGATTATTTACAGCAGCAACATGAGAGCAGAGCCCTCCAGGAGGGGAAGGGATCCATCTAGTGGACACCGATGCTCCAGCCACAGTTTGGCCTACACTAAACCGAAGACACTAAATTTAGGGCCCATGATAGGGTGCTGGGTGGCCCTCTGAATACTTTCTAAATCACTATGAAAATAAATGGATTCAAAACTGATTTTGGTCCAGGAAATGCCCCTGCATACTGTGCCAGTGTTGTAAACTCTATGCATAAAGCAGTATGCCTGCATGTAAGTTTCATATGTGCACAGATGATGTTAAAACAGACCGTTTTTAGATACCAGGGTTGGTTGGCACACTTTTTACTTATGCCGTGTTTCTCTGGCATCATTTACATTAGAATATTCTCGCCAGCAGCAAATGAAAGATTAAGACGTCTGTTGTATAGCTCAAAGTTGTTTCAGTGGTTGACTACACAAAAAATGGGGAGAAAAAGTTCTTTAACTTCTTGAATAACGAGGTCCGGGAAATGCCCTTGCATACACCTGACCTGTGTGGGGCTGCTGGGACTGCAAATGTTGAAAGGCTGAAAACAGGCAATTCATTTATCATGCATACTGATATATATTATAATGTTTGTTGATTAATTGGCCCCTGGTTTTCTGTTATTTTCCAGAACTGGCCCCCAGGCAAATTAATCTGAGTATCCCTGACCTGAGATATTCATATCTGCAGACCAGACTTAACCATTATAGTGCTGGCTTATGGTAACTGCTTCGAGCAGGGGTCAGCAACCTTTACTATCTAAAGAGGCCTTTTTGGCCAAAAACGCTCTCAAATAATCTGCCTGGAGCTGCAAAACATATTTGAGCCTTATAATAACAGTAACAGTGAGTCTAAATTTGTCCATAAACATCACTAATAGGTCTAAATGATCATTTATTAACATGTTTTACCAATATTTATGATTGCTGGGTACTTTAATTTTGCAGGGTTGGCGGTAAAAGCAAACGAGCATGTCCACCCATTGTTAAATTCTCTCCTCCAAGACTTCTGGCATCCATAGTTAGTTTAGTTAGGGAGATCCAAGATAAGCCATCGTTATTAAGGTCCAGCAAAATTTAAAGGAAAAGGCGATAGGCTGTACGCACATTTAGTTTTTTATTCTGTGTATAGGCTACACATTTTTACAGCTGAGAATGTAAGAATTGCTCAAGGCCTGCGACAATAAAAACTTTAAATTAAAATTCAAAAAATGAACATCATTAATTTCTATGTTATTTTTTGCCAAAGCCTCAGGGAGCCACTGGAGAGGGGCAAAAGATTGCCATGTGGCTCCGGAGCCACAGGTTGCCTATCCCTGGCTTACAATCTGCCAGTGGTGTAGTGAAGGGGATGCAGGTTTAAAGGGTATACCCACCTCTTTTTCTGGCCATTTACAATACACCCACTTTTCAGCCAAAAAGTTATTGTTATATATATCGGAGAATATGCTAACTTCCTCCTCAGTAACCTACCCATCTGCCTAGTAGTAAACCCACCTCATCAACTACCACTGCACCACTGGAGTCTGCTCAAGTTATGGTGTGCAGTTTGAACCAAAACCAAGAAGCAACATTTATCCTCATTCCTTTGGCAGATCAAGTGCTAAATGTGATTAACAAAGTAAGATATTTGGATCACATCATCAGGGGTGATGTAATGATGCTGATGTGCCACACCAGTGTTGTAAACTCTCTGCAGAGGCCAATATGCTGTGTACAGATGGTGTAAAAACAGACCTTGTAGGGGAGACCAAGGTTGGTTGGCACACTTTCTACTCTCTGCCATAATTCTTTGGCATCACTTGGGTTAGACTATTCTCACCAGCAGCAAATGACAGATTAAGGTCTCTGCTGTATGGCCCAAATTTGTTTCAGTAGTTCTTTAACTTTTTGAATCACAATGCAAATAAGAATGTAGTTTAACTTCCAGCAAGTTACTGCAAAATATAGTTAAAGTACCAGTTTAATTACATGTAGTTCACCACACCATAACAAAAAGTACATTTTTGATTCAATCGTTAGCTGTTTATTGTCTATGGAATGTGATAAACCTCTGAGAGTCCTTCATTTGAGCAGCATTACATCTGTTTAAAAAGAAAATACCTTACATGTCAATAATACAAGTCAGATATACACCTACGGGGCGTTGGTGGCTTAGTGGATAGAGCAGGTGCCCCATGTACAAGGCCGTTACCGCAGTGGCCCGGGTTTGACTCCAGCCTGTGGCCCTTAGCTGCATGTCACTCCCTCTCTCTCTCTCTCTCCCCCTTTCACGCTTGTCTGTCCTATTGATTAAAGGTAAAAAAAACCAAACATATGCACCTACACCTGAATCATGGGTTCTGTTAGACAGCCTGCTGTTGGTTTCCTCAAAACTATATTTTTTTTTTTAAAGATATTTTTTGTGGCTTTTTAGCTTTTAATGGATAGGACAGACAAGTGTGAAAAGGGGAGAGAGAGGGAGTGACACGCAGCAAAGGGCCACAGGCGTGACTCAAGCCCAGATCGCTGCGGCAGCAGCCTTGTACATGGGGCGCCTGCTCTACCACTAAGCCACCGGCACCCCTCCTCAAAACTATTTAACCCAATTTACAGCAGTTATCCAACTGCAAAACGTGCATGCAAACATCTAAATGCATATATTAACATGCAGTATGATGCGTTGCAGGACCCGGCTCACATTGTGGAGGATGTGGATAACTTGTACGTGGATTAGCAGCACCACCTTCAGGCTACAGTGAGCACATACTTAAACTAAACCAGCTGTTTTAGAGGTGATTTATAAACCATAGAGAGAGTGAATACCAAGGGGCTTTCTTTGAGGAACTCTTAAATCTCTGTTGAAAGGAAGTTTCCACAATTTGTTGTCTGTGTCTGAGCTGTGTGTCCATCATTCATTTGTGCTTTGGGATGTCAGCAGGATACTGTCTTGATTTCCAGCATCTGTTAACAAAGACGTCCTCTCCTCTCCTCACAGTGGACACTTGCTCCACCTTTTTTAAAAGGCCATGATCACATCAAAATTAAACTAGTCACAAAAATCCTCTCCATATATATATATATACACACTAATGACGCTATAAACATGCGTTGGACAGTGTGCTTGCGTAAGTATTTTCAGGGCACTTTTATCCTTTATTACAAACATTAGAAGAAAGATGACGGGAAATGAGGGAGAGAGAGATGCAACAAACGTCCCTGGTCAGATGTAAACCAACTTTTCTTCTTTCATCCTCTACCAGGAGTGTGACATTACTTAAAATGCCTTGTCTGTTTGAGGTGAAGTTTCCTCCTCCATCAGTAACACCATAGATGGAGAAATTTAAATAACCAACAATTAAATAAGGTTGAACAATGCATCATTTCTTGACCTTGGAAACCACTTATTTTTCAGTGTAATGACAACTGGACAAGCTCCGTCCGTTGATGAAGATCAAGTCATATGATCAAACACTCCAGAGCAGCCACTAAAAAGGTCTTGTGGCTGGACTGTTTTTGCAACAGCTGTCTCCGAGATCAAGAATGCACTTTGAACATCAGCTCACAAACCAACACAGATGAGTCTTCAGTGCGCTTGGAAAAAAACAAAGACAATTGACCATTTATAATTCCATAACAACTGACAGCCCCAGAGCGCCGGTTAAATTGATCTCATGACAGTTTTTGAACTTTTATTTGTGAGAGAAAGAGAGATATGCTAATAACAGTTTTAGAAGTCATATTTAAATAAAGATTAGAGCAGGGCCGTAATCACCCATTTAACACTGGGGTGGACCATTTTCAATGTACACCTTCTACCTAACCCATAAGGGGGGTCAGGGGTGAAGTGTCCCAGGAGATATTTTTAGAAACAGCTAAACTGACCATTTTAGAGCACACTGACTTTTTTTAAGACTTCATTTTTTTATGAAGTCATCACTTCATAAAAACTTAAACTACCACCACCAGCGTCTAGACCCAAGAGGTTCCCTATTCAACTATGGATTCATCACCCTCCTCATACCATTGATGGGGTCCAATCACCGAAGACTTTCCACATTTCTTTCATTCTCATGTGCACATGTTAATAAATATTCTTTTCAGTATAAAAAAAATTAGTCTCTCCTGATTGAACTCAGGTCTGTGGTCAACACAGGCTTCACGTTTTGTTCTGTGACATAAAATATGTCAGTAAATATCCAACTCATGAATTTTGAAGCCTTTACATGACTTAAAAATGACTGTTGCTAACAATCTGCTAAATGAGACTACAGAGCGTCACCACGCTGAGCACATCTTTAGAGCCTTGTCTTCAAAGTGGTGCAGCCTGATGTTATCTTGCCGAACAAAACATGTGAATATCATAAATTTTGTTTGCCACAGAGCTTATTTTCTAC